GCGACCGGCTCCGCCGACCGATTCGTTCCAGCAACAATGGGCAGCCGGGGAAGCAGCTCACGAGCTCACGGTCCCATGACCCCTGCTGCAGACACCGCACGCATACCACTTGTCAGCCTTTGTCAGAGCAGAGCGTCGTCGTGAGAACGTGCTGCGCGAGACGAACGAAGCCCTGCGCAGCGTTGCCTCAAAGATGCTATCAGTCACGTGGCTAAGGCCAAGGAAACTAACCAGTTGCGGAGTTGTGCCCGGAAGCGCTTCAAAGCCTGCGCGGGGAGGAGCTCCGCACTGGCACCTACCTCCTTTCTGTTCCTTCCTCACCCTCGCCACCCTCATCTTCCGTCCCCTGTAAGCCGGCTAGGCAGGTTGGTACGCTGACTGGCTAAGGCTCGGTGCTTCAGAGGCTTTAAGCCTTTAGGGCTGAGAGCCTCCAACCCATTCGCAGATGGTGGAGTCCACATTCCAGGCATCCAGGCGTGGGCGATCTACAACAGACTGGTGTTCAGCACAATCATATGGTTCTGTACAAAGGAATGTCAGCCCGTACAGGCTCGTCGGCCCCACAGCATTCCCTTCACACTAACATGGACACTCGCAGGGCTCGCAGGGTCTGGAAGACGATGAAGCGCAACCAAAGGCCACACCGAACACAAGCCCCCTAGAAGCGCTTCGTGTTTAGGATGGGTGTAGGCAGGGTAGGCCTACATGGCCAGTGGCCCGTCGGATATATCGTGCTGTGAGGGTTTCGGTTTCAGGAAACCATCGCAGGCTGAAGCTAGACATGGCAGGTACCAGAGATGCGCAGCTTGGGACGCCTTATCGCTTTCCGCTTTCTGCTTGCACGGGGGGGTTTGGGGTTTCAGGCTATCCATTCCCCAGATGGCCCGCCTTGCCCGCCTGGCCGCGCACGAAATGCAAATTTGGATTGCTTGGCGACAGACGGGCTCCCTTTCACAAGCAGCATCGGACAAAAATCTGCAGGCCAAGGGAGGCACGCGCCAGCCCGGGTCAGAAGAGCGCAATGTCAAGACACGGCTTGCATGCTAAGCCGCGCAAGGCCTCGTTCCTCTGGAACGCAACCCCGAAGCAGGCTGCTCATTCACAAGCACGAGAACGCTGCGTGACAAGTGGGCGGTGGAGCGAATCGAGGCGCATCTGACAGTGTTTTTGACAAGGTGGAAAAGGCGAACCAAATCTTGCGGCGCTACTAGGCTACCTCTGAGCGGTGACCGGCAAGCCAGTCACGTTCAAGACGCTGCCTAACAATGGACCTGAGATTCCGTGTCCGGCGCGGACACCGGAGGCGACACAAGAACGAACAAACACATAAAGAGCGATTCCTTCCGTGAGCCTTGCGAAGAAGCAGCTCACGGTCCCATGGCCCCTGCAACCAGCCTATGCATGTCACTTCTCGGGCAGGGTGGAAGCGCGCTCGAGCCCTTGTCAGAGATGAGCGCTGTCGTGCCAGTAGTGTGCTGCGCGCGACAAGCCAAGCCCTGTGCGGAGTTGTGCCCGGGAGTGCTTCAAAGCCTGCATGGGGAGGAGCTCCCCACTGGCACCTGCCTCCTCTCTGTTCCTTCCTCCTCGCCGCCCTCATCTTCAGTCCCCTGCAAGCCTAGCTGGCACCTTGGTCGGCTGCTTGGCTCTGCTTTGCAAGGCTCCCTGCTTCAGAGGCTTTAAGCCTTTAGGGCTGAGAGCCTCCAACCCATTCGCAGATGGTGGAGTCCACATTCCAAGCATCCAGGCGGTGGCGAACTACAACAGAACGGAAATTTGCACAATCAAATGGTTCTTTACAAAGGAATATCAGGCTGCACAGGCTCGTCGGCCCCACAGCATTCCCTTCACACTAACATGGACACACGCAGGGCTCGCAGGGTCTGGAAGGCGCTGAGGCGCAACCAAAGGCCACACCGAACACAAGCCCCCTAGAAGCGCTTCGTGTTTAGGATGGATGTAGGCAGGGCAGGCCTACATGGCCAGTGGCCTATCGGCTACATCGTGCTGTGAGGACTTCTGCTTCAGAACCACCATCGCAGGCTGAAGCCAAACATGGCAGGTACCAGAGAGTCGCAGCTTGGGACGCCTTATCCCTACTTTCTTGCACAGGGGTTTGGTGGCTATCCCTTCCTCACACGGCCCGCCTGGCCGCACACGAAATGCAAACTTCAAATTGCTTGGCGACAGACGGGCTCCCTTGCACAGGCAGCATCGGACAAAAATCTGCAGGCCAAGGGAGGCACGCGCCAGCCCGGGTCAGAAGAGCGCAATGTCAAGACACGGCTTGCACGCTAAGCCGCGCAAGGCCTCGTTCCTCTGGAACACAACCCCGAAGCAGGCTGCTCATTCACAAGCACGAGAACGCTGCGTGACAAGTGGGCGGTGGAGCGAATCGAGGCGCATCTGACCGTGGTGTTGCCAAGGAGAGGCGCGTCAAATCTGTGGACGCCACCTCGGAGCCGTGCCCCACAAGCCCGCCACGTTCAAGACCTCCAGCCAGGGCTCTTCATACCGGCAGCCATGGCGAGAAGGGTTACCCACACGGCACAGCAAAGGCGCTGAGACTTGGGGCGCCCTTTGTGGCACTTGCAAGGTGCCTTGGGCTTCAGGCCCCGGTCCTGCGTGGGGTTTCGGGATGTCCCAGAACACGGCAGTTATTGAGAGGCTTTTGGGGTTTTCACGGAAAATGTGCTTCAAGCCACGCGCCTAATGCCCTTGCCGCCAAGGAAGCTAACACGAGGCCTTCAGGTCACGATGCACTACGAACAAGCAGCACCCGTCCCTTCATCCCATCAGGCACCCCGCAAGCTCTGCTCACACGGCAGCGGCGAAAGAGCCTCGCGATTGAGTCGATTGCAGGTCGCCTACGCGGTGTCTACCCAAAGCTTCGCTCCTCGTTCACCCCGCTACTTTAAAGTACTTCTGCCTCTCACTTCACACCTCAGAGCCGAGAGAGCACGTGCCAAAAAGGCACAAGGCCACACGGAGTCCGACCATCTGCCTCAAGGAAACCCTAACAAAAAGCGGCTCTGAAAGGGGGGAGAGAACGAGGACGACGAAAGGCTCTCAGGGCATTGACTTCTATTGCCACGAGGAGGTGTCTCTCCAGCTTGCAGATGTCAGCCGTCACGCAAGCCGGGGCTTCAAAGGACTTGGAGGCCATTTTGGGGCTACTCCTGAGATGAGCTCCCCCTCGCTCACGACCCTATTCTCAGAGAAGAGACCTCTCGACTCAAGCCCGCTTCCCAGGATGGGCTATTCGGCCCTATCATCCCCACAATCAAACCTATAAAGGGCCTCTTGAAGGGGTTTATACGGTCGAATAGCCCATCCTGGTCAGGCACACGCCCGCATCGCGCAAGCTGCGCTGCGCAGACACGTGCGCTTGGCACGGGCTGTGGCAGGCGAAGGGCATGCCAAGAGCGCTGCGAACCATCTGCTCCCAGAGTTGCCGCGGGACCCTTCTTCTGCAAGCGGAGGCCGGGCGACCCTGGGGCGCTTTTCAGCGGCCCATCTCAAGAGAGTAGCCCCAAACCCAAAACCCTAAACCCTAAACCCGCAAAACGGGCGCTCTAGGAGGTCCCGGAGCTCATGGAGCTCTAGCGCCTCAGCCCACTTCTTGAACGCTCGATTTTTGCTCCCAGAGTGCTCATTGAACCCCGTGGCTCCCGAGAGGGCGTCCGAGTGCCGCTTTGTTTCACTTCAGGGCCACCTCTTTCCCCTTTTTCAAAGGGTCCTCCTAGGAAAAAGAGAGCCTTCAAACATCGCTTTGAGAAGTGGAGGAAGTGAGCACAGCAAGAAGAAAGGCAGCCGCAGAGTGCCACCTGCTCCTCTTCGACTGGACGGCTTCAAGAAGCGCACCTCACATAGGCACTCAAGGTGATGCTCCCCGACTCAAGCGACCTGCTGATTTGGTGAAGAGTCGGTGGGTCGGAAGTCCCAGAACCTCGGCGGACCACCATCTGCAACAGCCGTCGCTGGGCGAGATGGTGGCTGGGCAAAGCAGCTTTTGAGAAGGGCCGCATGGCCACGACTACGTCCCTCCTAGAATATGATGGGGATGTGGCTCGTGGGTTGCCGTCACGTTGTGAGTTGTGGCCTCCCCCAACCGCAAGCCTAGTTCCGGCTTAGGATCTCGTAACACAAAGTGAGTTGAGTCCAGCTGGTGCTCCGCTGAAGCCCACATTGAGACATCTGTCTATTGCCCAGGGGAACCAAAGGACAGAGGAAACACGCCTCCATTGCACTTCGACGTTTAGGTGAGGCTACGAGCAGCTACGAGCAGCTACAAATGGCTACCAAGCTACAAAGTTCAGCTTTTTTTGTTTTCTTCTTGAGCCCGCTGCAGAGAGAGGAGCACGCAGCCCGAATGTCCCCTCGATTGCTCACTCACAAACGTGATCTTCAAACATTGTTTGGGGAAAACCCAGCACGCCCAATCTGAGGCCCTAAACCCTAAACCCTAAACCCAAAACCCCGATACATTGGGGCCATGGAGAACCACAAATTGTCCGCGGACCGTTGGAGCGCAACAACCCGAAATACGTGACCCTAAACCCAAACCCGCATGGATTCCTGCTGCTTGGGAATCAAGGCCGGCATGGTCCGTAAATTTCGTGAAGTGGCCAAAACACGGCAAGAGGAACCAAGCGAACTGAAATCTGGAACCCCACTCTCAAGAGAATCTGCGACTTCTTAAGTTTCCTCACGCTTGTCGGTAGCTGAAATCGCTTCAGTTTTCGGTAGCTCCCCCACTCTCTTTTGGACTCAACGCGTTCCGTCCCCTAAACCCTAAACCCTAAACCCTAAACCCTCGGAAACTCGCAGCGCCGAGCTGGCGCCACATGGAAAGCTGGCCCAGGCATATACGAAACAATGAGGAAAAATATGTCCCCCATTGCTTTTAGGGTCTAGGGTCTAGAGTTTAGGGTTTAGGGTTTAGGGCTTAGGGTTTAGGGTTTAGGGTTTAGGGTAATGTTCCCCATTGTTTCTTATGTCCCTCAGGCGCGGTCGGGCTCAAAGAAGCGAATATGGCGAACGGGGTTGCTCCAGTAGATGCGGCCCTGGCCATCCTCAGCAGAGTCTAGGGTTTAGGGTTTAAGGTTTAGGGTTTAGGGCTTAGGGTTTAGGGTTTAGGGTTTAGGGTCTAGGGTCTAGGGTCTAGGGTTTAGGGTTTATGATTTAATGTTTAGGGTTTAGGGTTTGGGGTTTAGGTTCTCGCCTATGCTTGCCAAGATCCTTCTCCCTACTTTGGAGTAGGCCCTGGAAAAAGAAAAGTCTATACTGTTTAGGTAGTAAGTAGCTATAATAGGAACTCCAGAACCACAAAAACTCAAAAAAGCATTAAAGTATAGTACTGCAAAACCCAGTTCTTGGGCCATGGCCTGACGTCGATGCCAGGTTGTATCCGACTCGTAGAAACCTCAGAACCACGAACCAGAACCAGGGGCCACCAGCACGTAACGTTGAGACGTTGCCCCCTTATACGAACAGTCCTTATCCAGGATCATAGTATCCCCCCATTATAATCCCATATAGTCCCTACAAAGGACTGTTCGTATAAGAGGGAACATCCCAAACTCAACCGGATTGATGCGTCTCAGGGTTCCACTGACACCCGGGCGGCCTTCCGTCGAGCACTGCCAATATCCCCCCCGGCTGTCCGTCAGCAGAACCCACTTGGCGCTCTGGTAGTGGTAGGGCTCAGGTGGGCTGTCTCTGGACACCTGACAAATCATGCAATAGACAGTATCAAAATATTGGATTAGAAACTAACAGAAGAATACAGCAACAGAACAATAAAATAATCAAATAATCGAATACTATAACAATAAACTACAAAATGATCGAATCATCGAAAAGTGTATTTAAGAAAATACTAATAGAAGAACGCACTATTATACTGATATACGAATCAAAGATATAGGGATATAAGATATAAGAATGCAAGAATATGAGAAAAATGTGAATTTGATAACATGAGAATACCAAAATAAACAAATCTAGCAACGAAAGCTGGATAATAAGATAAAATGTACCAATTTACTGATAGAATAATTGAACAATGCAAAAATATACAAGCATTCTAACTTTTTTTTATAATATAGATGTGAATATGGTAGTATACTAATTTAGTACCATAATAATATATTAATATGATAATGTGTTAACTATATAATGATGTATGAATACAAAAATGTCGCTAATACATCAGTATGACGATAATCAAGGAACCATACAATCACATGATAACATAGGAAAATTATATATAGTAAGATAATGACCTATGTCTGCAAAATGAATGATACTAGAATATGCCTATATAACAATAACAAAAATCATGATAGCTGCAGACTTGGCATATACAATCCTTGGAGTTGGAACCTGTATGGTCCGAGCAGGACGGGTCACCGTTGGTCAATAGGCACCTTAATGACTCCTAGCGGGCAAGCTGCTTGATTCTCTGCATCCCAGAAGAAGGCTTCACCACGCTCGTTGCGATAGACATCCCAGCCGGGGGCCAACTTCTGAGGCTCGCTGCACGCCACTGGATGACTCGACGTCTCCCGCAGTGGCGCTGACGTGGCATGGCGTTCCTGCTTGTGAAGCGTGGGAGCTTCCTGGCCGCGCACAGAATCAACCATTGGGCTAGCAATCGTCGGACGCTGCCACTGCGATCTCAAGGTTCTCAGACCTCTGTTCAGAGAGGAGAACACTCAGTAGGCAAGAAACACACCCTTCGGCAAACAAAAAACTCACTCAAAGCAGGCCAGCGCGCAGTAGTAAAAGACCCGTCCATCATCGGCTTCGTGCTCCTCCCAATCATCAGGCAGTGGGCCATTGCCTCACAAGACTGCATGCAACCAATGCGAACGACACCGATGGAGCAAGTCAGCACTGGCATGCTCCAGTACACGTCTCAGCTAGCGACAGCTTGTCTTGTAGCCGTCTTGCTTCACTGACCCTGATGTATCGTCCAATTGCTGTGCGGGGCAAAACAACAGGAGAGACCTTCTAAGATTCTCAACACGTCGCCTGTGGTTGATGAGCTGACCTTTCCTGGATGCTCCCACTGGCTTTGATTTGGCTGATCAACCTTGCAGCTGAAGCTTGCCAATCACTATGTGTAGGGCATACGGTTCAGGGTGTAGGGTTTAGGGGTGTTTCGGCAGGTTTAGTGACATTGGCACATTGTGCATTGCCAGCTTAGCTTTGCGATCAAGGAGCGCGCCAGTAGTATGTTCTACCAGAAGTAGGATCGAGGTTGGACGCCCAACCTTCTGGAAGTGCTGGCGCGCCACCTCAAACGCCGCAGGAACTGTGTTTTTGCGCAACTTTTTTTGGGGAAGTCGCATGAATACCGGTGCTCGTGCACAACCACAAGCAGAGCTCTCCGAAGAAGCCTTCTGGGGCCGTTACCAGATGGCTCCTGCAATCACGCTTTGAGCTGTCAAAACACGTTGTTCTGCTTCATGACCACTAGACCCTGTGGTTCTTAGTAGGGAATGAGGGAAGTAGGACCCTACTTGGAGGTTCATGGTACTTAATAACCCAATTATTGCTGGTACTTGTAACCCAATTATAACCATAATTGGGCACTTAAGGGGCTTAAAAGTGAGCTATAACCATAATAGGGCACTTAAAGGGCTTATAAGTGAGTTGTAAGGCAGTTATAAGTGGGTTCTAAGTACCATGAACCTACAAGTATATATACCCTTTAAGGGATTGCATAGGGCCCTTTTTCCCTCATTCCTTTCCTAAGAACCAGCCAACAGAGGCAGTGCTCCGAGGCCCCAGCACGCGGCACCACGATATTCTTTCCTGGGCCATTGCAACAGGCTGATCACAGGCTGACAAGTTAGGGTTTAGGGTTTCGGGTTTAGGGTTTAGGATTTAGGGTTTAGGGTTTAGGGTTTAGGGTTTAGGGTTAGGCTTAAGGGCTTATAGTCTTAGGGTAGTTACCTGGTCCCTTCGTATGGGCCCTGAAAAGGGGCCCTGATGCACCCAGTACAAATTCAGGGCCCATACTTCAGAACTTCAAGCGAGGTTCGGGACCATCGTAAGGGCCCATGAAACTACCCTCAGAAGGTTGACAAATTGGGAACCCTAAACCCTGAACCCTGACCCTGAACCCTAAACCCTAAACCCTGAACCCTAAACCCTAAACCCTAAACCCCTCCCAATTCCCTCATTCCCTACGAAGAGCCACTTTTCTCGGGGCATGCAAACACGCAACCACCCACGCAGCCAGGATGCGAACTACAATCTCGCCCGTCTGGGTATACACCAGCTGATTCTTCTCCTTAGTATTTAGCTTCAGGGCTTAGGGTTTAGGGTTTGGGGCTTAGGGTTTGGAGTTTGGGGTTTAGGGTTTAGGTCTCGGCAGATGCTACTACCCCAGACGTGACCACGAGCATCGTGCGAGTCCGACAAAAATTCGGCCCAAGGCTCCCTTATCCAGATGATGTCTTCATGTTCAAGAGCCCGCACTCTGATGGAATGCCTCTTGCCTTGGAGGCTGCCCCTGCCAATCCGAAGCCCAAGCAGCTCTTGTACTGCAACGCGGTATCTGCTTGGAGGTTCATGGTACTTATTAACCAGCTATAACTGTACTACTGTACTTCTGACTGTACTTATAACCATATTAGGGCACTGAAGGGGCTTAGAAGTGGGTTATAAGTGCAGTTGTAAGTGGTTAGTAAGTACCATGAACCTCCAAGTAGTGGTCTGGTCAGTTCTCTGAGCTGCCATGCAGATGGAGGTACATCCTCGGGTGCGATCGCTGACATCACGTCGAGGTAGGCACCCACACAAAACAGCAAGCTAACCCTAAACCCTAAACCGTAAACCCTAAACCCTAACAGCAAGCTAATTGAAGACATGTGTCTCGTCTACCCTGCTGGCCAGGGACTGGCAAAGTGTGCCTCGGGTGAAGACCGCATGCTCCAAAAATTGCCCACTGAACCTTTGAGAGCTACAGCTTTCAAAATCTCAAGCGCAAACACGTTGCAATTCAGCTCATCGCCTTCCAGGATGACATAATCAGGAAGATTCCTGGTGTCTTTTTTTGAGAAACTCAGCCCCTCGCTTAGGGTTTGGGCACCGGAGGCGCTCTTTGAACGTCGAATGTTCTCTCAGGTGCTGGGGCCTAAACAGTGTACATTCCAGGGTTTTTTGGGGTCTTTTAGGGTCTTCGGGGTTTTTCAGTAGGGTTCTTAGGCTTTAGGGTTTCGGGTTTAGGGTTTAGAGCTGGGTCCTGTTCCCAGTGTTCGATTGGGGTTGAGGGCTTTTTGGGGCTTTAGGGAGAAAGGCTTTCGGGCCCTAAACCCTAAACCCTAAACCCTAAACCCTAAACCTAAACCCTTTCAGGGCCTTTTAAGGCTTTTTCGGGGTGTTCGGGCGTGGGGGGTCCATCTTCCGAGGCATCCGGGGTTCCTGACCGTCTTCGAGAGCAGTACTCACTGCGCGAGTCTCCGTTATATGGTCTTCCACGGTTTAGGGTTTAGGGTTTAGGGTTTAGGGTTTAGGGTTTAGGGTTTAAGGTTTAGGGTTTAGGAACTGCCAATACTACCGTCCAAGGATGTAGAGTCCGAAAGTACCAAACATGGGCGGATGCCGGGAAGAAAGCCGGGACAGAACTGGCCATTCTTCTTATGATTCTTCTAGTACTACATATGATTGTATGATATGACTATTTGTATATGTGTATATGCCTGCTATACAAAACCCTAAACTCCAAACCCTCAATCCTAAACCTTAAACCCTAAACCCTTTCTTAGCAGGAGTGTCCTTAGTATGGGTTACTGATGGTTGGTAGGGAATGAGGGAAATGAGCTACCCTCCATCTCCTTTAAGGGATGATTATACGGTACCTCTTCAAGGGATTATAACTAAGGGAGTATTACAGGGGACCTCATTCAGGGATTATTACAGGATAACCTCTTTACGGGACTAGTATAGGGTACCTCATTCCCTCTAAACCCTAAACCCTAAACCCTAAACCCTCATTCCCTACCAACCAACAGTAAGAATGGGCGAGGGCGCCTGCTCGAGCCAAGGCTCCAGAGCCGTTCGAAGGGGCCTTCTCTGAGCTTCTCCGCCTCTGTCTTCATGGCCTGCCCGCGGGCAGATACACCCAAAGGGGTTTTGGGTTTTGGGTTTAGGGTTTAGGGTTTAGGGTTTAGGGTTTTGGGTTTTGGGTTTTGGGTTTAGGGTTAGGGCTGGGGGTGTAGGGTGTTGGCATCTGCACAATTAATCGGGATTATAATCGGGTGTACTAGAATCCCTATTAAGGACTGATAATACAAGGGGGAACATCCCCAATCATGAAGCTACACAAATTGCACCTGCAACTTTTGTTGTTTGTGGCCAGCACGAAGCTGTTGCGTAATGACTTTAGCCATGGCCTTCCCCTGCGACAGGGCCTGATGCAAAGACTCGAGGCTCAGTACTTGCTCTCACTTGCTTTCAAACATTGAACCCACCGTTTCAAGCCACTTTTCTTCTCCAGGTGTACCCATGCCTGTGCGTGGGCATTCTCATGTTCTTGGGATTGCTGCAGCGCACTTGTTCCGAGACTTCAGAAGCAGAGGCTTCTCAAACACTGACATGGGAATGTTCACGGTACGCATCGGCTCCAAGCACAATGCCGCAAAAAACTCATTCTGGGCCTCTGAACCACTTCACGAACGACGTTCTGGGAGGAGGGCGAAACAGGAGAACTTTTCGGTGACGCATCCGGATTGAGATGACATGCACTGACACTGCCAAAGCTACATATAAACACTTTCGGGGCCCTGCTTGTCTCTGAAATCCGTTACACAGGATGTGGGCAAAAGACTGCGCAGCGCCTCCTGATGTCCCGGAGAGTTGATGTGACTTGCGACGGCTTGTAGATCTTGCGGCGGGAGACATGTCGCGCAAAGGGGAGTCTAACACTGCATGCTTGAAGGTTCATGGTACTTACTAACCAAATAAAACTGGACTTATAACCCTACTTATAATACCCCTAGAGGGCCTTGTAGGGGTATTATAAGTTATAAGCCCAGTTATAATTGGTTAGTAAGTACCATGAACCTTCAAGTGGGTCTCTGCCAAGACACTTTGCAGGGTCTTTGTTCCGCAGAGATAGCACCCGAACTGCCCCTTTTCCACGCCATTCAAGCCATCCTGGGATGAAGCTAGGGTGTAGGGTTTAGGGTTTAATAAGGTTTAGGGTTTAAGGTTTAGGGTTTAGGGGTTAGGGTTTAAGGTTTAGGGTTTAGGGTTTAGGGTTTGGGGTTTAGGGTTTAGGGTTTAGGGTTTAGGGTTTAGGGTTTAGGGTAAAGGCAGTCGCGGAAAAGATGATCCTTCATTCGTCCAGGCGTCTCCCTCGTAAATGTGATTGTGCTCCTGCTCCTGGCACCAAAGCAATGGTTGGCCAAGCACAGTTCTAAACCGTAAACCCTAAACCCTAAACCCTAAACCCTAACCCTAAACCCTAAACCCTAAGCCCTAAACCAGGATCAAGAACTTCATATGGCCAAGCGGCATCGGTCAGGGTGTCTGAAGCGCCCTGCTCCATGCCGAGTCTCGCCCGGATTCTCTTCAACTCAGCTTCAATGCTTTGAAGTTTATGGCTGATGAGAGCTGACTACGGTGACTGCAGGGTTTAGGGTTTAGGGTTTAGGGTTTAGGGTTTAGGGTTTAGGGTTTAGGGTTTAGGGTTTAGGGTTTAGGGTTTGAGGTTTGAGGGTCTAGGGTTTAGGGTTTAGGGCTTAGGGCTTAGGGTCTAGGGTGCTTCTGAGAGGCGTGGTCGCTCCCCAGCATGTGCTTCCGCACGTGGTCGGGCGTAGCCATGGGCCCAGAGTTGCAGAGCCGGCACCGGAGGCCGTCGTGCCTCTTCTCGATGCCGTGCTCGACCCAGCCTTCCTGAAGCCTTGCTGTTTGCTTTAGTAGGGAACAGGGGGGGGAATAGGATACCATACATCCCCCTACATATACCCCTCAAGGGATTACAGATATATATATATATATGTAGATATATATATATATATATATATACATAAATACATACATACACCCTTTAAGGGATTCTAGAGGGTAACCAAGACAGCAAGAAGCCTGAGCTGCCCTTCCACCGCCGAGCTCTTGGCCTTGTCCTCCTTGTCAGGGAGCTCTTCCAACCTTGGGGACGACGTGAACCCTAGGATACAGGGTTTAGGGTTTAGGGCTGAGGGTTGAATGGGTTGAACAATAAAATTGGGGTCAGAAATTTTCTATTCCTATAATTCCTATTCAGGTATATATGAGCCCAAAACCCTTCTAGGGTTCACCTTTGGTCCCCAAGGAGCTTCTCTTTCAGCAGAAACGCGAAGTACACGTCGTCGGCGGCATAAGCCTGCTGCTCCGCCGTGAGTTCCGGCTGCGCCCAGCTGGAGCGACCTACGCGGGCGTCCTTGCGGACGCGGTACTGAAAGTGCTCGGCCAACGACTTCAGATCCGCTTCCTCCAGGCCCTTCTGCGCAGCAAGGGTCGCCAAATCCAGCAAGCCCGTCTTGGGTGGCTGAGGAACACTCTGAAACATACTCCTGGATAGGATCCTCTTAAACCCAAGAGCGGGAAAAATGTGTAAAATGTCCCAAAAGGGCCTGCCAAGCTGCTGGCTGCAGGTCGAAAGACATCCGCATCTTGTGCTTGGCCGCGCTGTCGTATCCCACGCACACTTTGGTGCAGGTCTCTGATGTCAGCACTTCTCTGATGACGCTCGGCAGCCACTGCCCCGTCCTGTGAGTTCGAACCAGCAAAGCTGTCTCGGCATCGGCGAACTGCATGAGGGCAACGGGATTCTCTGCTTGTGTCCGGCCATCGGGCGGCCACTCCACGTCCCAGCCCACGGCCTGCTTGGTCTTCAGCTTCCCCTCCAACCAGTCAGAGCCGGGAAACTTCGTAGTCTTTGGATTGATTTCTGCTAGGTCCACTACGATGGGCTGCTTTGGGAACCGGTGGAACACCAGGCCTTCTTCCTCCGGCCTTTTCCGGTGAATTCTCCGGTGCATTGCCGGGTGGAATTAAACCGGAAGCCACAGGAGGGCTTGGTCAGAAAGCTCATTGCCAGGACGCAGCCATCTTAACATGGAACAGGTTCCTTCTTACCAGGGGTTGCGGGTTTAGGGTGTAGGGCTTAGGGCTTAGGGCTAAGGGCTGAGGGCTGAGGGCTGCGGGCTGAGGGTTTAGGGCTTCGGGCTTAGGGTTTAGGGTTTAGGGTTTAGGGTTTAGGGTTTAGGGTTTAGGGTTTAGGGTTTAGGGTTTAGGGTTTAAGATTTTAGGTTTGCGGTTTAAAGTTGAGAGGGTTGAGGGTTTAAGGTGTTGGGTTCAGGGTTTGCGGTTGAAAGGGTTGAGGATTGAGGGTTCAGGTTTTAGGCTTTAGGCTTCAGGGGTTAGGGTCCAGGGCTGAGTCCTACACACGTGACAGACTGTCAGATCAGCTGCCAGGGCGAGCCAAAGGCAGTGACATGCTTTGAGGAACCTCATGAAGCAGAATCATTCACCGCCCCGCTTTGACAAAGAGTTGCAACGTTTCTCCGGAGTCTTCCCGGAGGCACACCGGAAAATGCTACGTACGTGAAAATGCAATCCCACATCAAATCATGTAGAACAACTGCTTAGGGTCATCTCATCAATGTACCAAGGGAGCTATGCACACATTACCAAGGATACAAGATACATCAGGATACACGAGGACGCAGTGAAGACGGGAGTCGCTCGGGGATCCTACCGTGCAGCAAAGAAAACGAAGCCCACAAAACCAACCAAGCCCCCGGGACCAAACCCGGCAAACCGAAGAGGCACCCTTGCAGAGGACTCCCGCTCTTTTCCATCGGTGGATCGCACAGAGCTCAGGAACTCTGAAACAAGATGACATCAGCTCCGATGCTGATAAATCGACACAGCTGCTGCTGCAAACCACTGCCCCCCTGCAGACACAGGGCGGGAGGGAGGGAAAACAAGAATGCCGTCCGAAGGCACTGCAGTCACTCGAGCAAGACCACTCGACCCCACACAGTGACACACTCGGACAACTGTCGCACGTACACATGTTAAGCAACATGCAACTGCAGCAACGTAATGCCTACAATGCGCCAGCAAAGCCTACCCTGCACACAACGCACTCCCGGATCCCACTTCGTGCCCAGCAAGTGTTCACCCCGCGGGTTCCTACCGTGCAGCAAAGAAAACGAAGCCCACAAAACCAACCAAGCCCCCGGGACCAAACCCGGCAAACCGAAGAGGCACCCTTGCAGAGGACTCCCGCTCTTTTCCATCGGTGGATCGCACAGAGCTCTGGAACTCTGAAACAAGATGACATCAGCTCCGATGCTGATAAATCGACACAGCTGCTGCTGCAAACCACTGCCACTCTCGAAGAGCAAGCAGCAGCCAAAACCCAAGAAGCAGCGGTCTGAACAGGCCTGAGCACCTACATCCAAGGATCTCTGCATTTGAGCGTGTCTTCTCTGCGCGTCTTAGGAATCCGCAGCTTGCCCTTCGTCTTGGCCTCCCTGATCGAGCCATAGAGATCGGAGCCCAAGTCAAGCATGTCCGAAAGCAAAATGCCACTAAACTCATCCACCGAAAACCGCAACCGCTTATGATCGCTGAAGCCGGTGAAATCACCATTAGTGAGCCGGTCTGCTTCGACATTCTGGAGCCTGGGAAGCCATCTCAACTGCAGCTCTGACGACTTCATCTGAAGCTGCATGGCGAGTTCCAATAAAAAGGCACATAGGGGAAATTTCGTCGTCATCAACTTTGAGACGGCAAAGGCGTTGCCGCGATTGTCGGTGCTAGCTGAGCAAGCACAGCCAAGATGTTGACCCCCTGGAACGCCAAAGAGTACTACTGCTGTCAAGGTCGCGAGAAGCTCCAAAGATGCAATGGCACGATAGGACTCTCCGGCCAGAAAGAGCCATTTGCCTGTGTTGTGCGAGATGCGCTCGGCAAACCAGCGGCACTCTGACAACGTGCCATTGTCTAACGCGAAGCCCCCGATCCACACCTCGTCGCCTTCGGCCCGGGCATCCGTCCGAAAGAGCTCTCTTTCTGCATCACAGTGGTCGGCGACTGCCGCATTTCTCCCAAGTCTTTCTAGCGAAGCCTTCAAGAAGTTCAAGAGCACGACCACCAGCTTTGGCAAGGGAAGACTGTGGAAGGATCCCATCGCTGCACTCCAGGCATACAACGGTCCCAAGAGCGGTCGGAAGTTGGGAAGTACAGTGAATGCAAACGAAAGCCTGCCGAGCACTGCGCGAAAATCTGCCATTCGAACTGCACCAGCATCCACAGTATGCGACACCCAGGAGATTATCCATTTTGCCCTTCCCTCAGTGAGTCCTAAGGCTCTCTCAGCCAGTGTCAACTCGAAACCGACCCACTTGCACACGAGGCCACCTGAAAACTTCTTCCAAGCAAACGGCAACCCCAGTGCTGAGTAGTAAAAGATCACTGTGATCAGCTTTTCAATGCCGCCTTTGTCGCCGACGAGCCAGAGAAGATCGTCGACGTAAACAAGTTGCATCCAGCCGAACTTGCCGAACAAGAAGAACGCAGAGCGCCCAAGTCCTGACATCAGACGACACCAGTGGTACGCAGCTGACGAGACACCAAAGGTACCCACGCAGTTCACCCATATTACGTCATCTCTCTTGGTGCCAGTGCGACAGCAAAGATGCTTCCAGTCCCGCTTTGCAATCTTTACGAGGCGATGGGCACGCGCCACATCCCCTGAGAGGGCGAAGTACGCTGTAGGCAAAGTCTGCAAAGCTCGCCGAAGGTCTCCGGCCCCAGGGCAGCGCATCTGATCCCGAACCTTTATCATACTGTTGACAGACAGGCCATGCGTTGCGTCATGGGTCACCCTGTAGGATCCATCTTTCTTCTCGATGGCTCCAAGTGAGGCGACTGACACTTCGCCGAGCTCCCTGCACGCAGCCTCCAAGTCCGTCTCGACCAAGCTCCGCTTCGATCTCAAACTGTTTTTGCACTTCTGCTGCATGTTCTTTAGCGGATACATAGTTGTCCCGAAGCACCGTCCCGTCAGGACCATCTGGGTAGGTCCTCCATCGTTCCTTGGCAGTGAAAACAGCAGGCACGCGTGGCAGCTCCACACCGACACCTAGGCGCACTCCTTTCGCAAAGGAGTCTTGACTTGTGTAAAACGCAGCAGAATCTGGATCCCCAGCCAGCCGTAGCAGTTCCTCGATGGCCGCGAGGTAGAAGGGCTGACCAGGGCTCTTCTCCTCTACAGGTAGCTGGCATCCCGCATCACGAAGCTCCTTCCAGATGATGCTTCTGCCTTCCTCCAGCATTTCGTCACTGAAGGGGGCCTCCTTGACAACACCTGCAGCAAGCTTAAACGCCAAGTCACGCACATTGAGCTTTGCGCCCACAAAGTTATGCAGCTTTGTCGCAAGGCGCTGATGGAAGGACAACTTCACATTCTCGTAAGCATCCTGCCTGGCAGAGGGAGGCCATCGACCAGGGGAGCACAGACCGCAACCATCGGTGAAAGGCTTCCGTGCACCACCCATACGACAGTACAGCGGTGGCCCTGTCCCTCGCAAACCAGCGATGCGAATACCGTCGCCTCCTTCTTCATACTCTAGGCCAGAGTAGGCACGGCTGGGAAAGATATTGTTCCAAAGTTCCTCTTCATCACCAGACACGGCCTCATCTGCAGTGGCCACAGACTTTCGCTTGCCAGGATCAGCAACTGCACGCTGCGCAACCGACCCCCCTTCAGGCAGCAGCGGGCCAGAGGAGGAAGAAACTTGCATTCAGTCAACTTGGGCAGTCCCCGTGCTCGGGGGAGCTTTACGGAACTTGCACTTCTGGAAAGAATGCTTCCCAAAGCAGCGCCAGCACACATGCGCGAAACGGCAGGAAGGATCGTTGAACTTGAAGCATAGAGCCCTGCCATCAGGAGTCTTGTTAGACTTCCCCCATTGCCGCCCCCAATCCGGAGCTTTGCCGCCACCTTTGCCCTTGCCACCTTTTCCATGATGCAGCCAAGGCACCTTTGTCAAGTCGGGCATATCCACAGGATCCTCGGCCTTGCCCAAGGTGAACGGGACGATAAAGTGTGTGGTCAAAACCTCCGGGGCATCACACGCCTTCTCAAGAGCAGCACGCAAGTCTTTGCACTGACCGTCACGAATGTAGCGATACGCGGCTTTGCGAAGCTCTTGCTCATAGCTCAACACCAAGGACCAGGTGGGGCCTTGGCCTGAAGCACTCCGAAGTCCGGCTACTGCCGAGCCTAAAACATGGTCCGATAGCACACGGAAGCAATCCACACAATTGTCAGGAACCCAAGCTCGGGTGGAATGCCGCGTCTTCACGAAATCCCACGCCAAGCCGATGCGACGATGGCGAAGACGAAGCTCTTCTGTAGTTCAACTAATTCCATGGCTTTCTTGATGCCTCTACCCGGGATCTGGGCGACCTCGAGGCTGCAGAATTCAAGAACCTCCTTAAACACTGAAGAAGCGTGACTCTGGTGCAAGGCTGACCAGGGCTGAGCCAAGGCTCTACGGCACCAGCTCTCAGCCTTGTTGAGCGTAGCAGGGCACCCCGCTTCGAGGAAGCTGAAGTAAGCCCATAACACTTGACACCAAAGCGTGGCCTGTTGAGTCACGCCTCGTCCCTTCTGGCGCTGACGCCACTTGCTTTTCCTAGAGAGGCTGCCGAACTCTCTTAGGCGCAACAGAGACGGAAACATGCAGTCACCAGTCTGAGGTGATGGCTTGGTCCCCTCCTCTAGCTTATTACAGCAAGAAGAATAACATTTGTAAAACCTTGCAAAAGATCCATGATGCTTATTTAGCAGATCTACCAAATTATGGATATCACCCTCAGCCTGCTTGGCTTGCGGCTTCAGGCGTCCGCTCTCACAGGGTCGGAATTCTTTCCTTTGCCACGGCCTCCTTTCGGAGGGCGGCCCTTGAAGTCTCCTTCTGCACGGTCGGGCACTCGGCCCCGCAGCTCTGTCTCGGCATTGTCCGCGTTCTGGTTCCAAGTCTTGGTTCGCCTCTCCAAGTCCTGAGAAGCTTTGAGGAAGGCTGCTATGGTTTCCAGAGATTCTTCCTCCCCCCCGAACTTGCGTCGAGAGAATGGATCGTCCAGTCCTGTCAGCAGCCATGCTAGGGACCAGTCGCCTTCGTCGATCACCACCTGATGGATGGCTCGCAAAGACTGCACCGTGAGCAAAGCGGCTTGCTCTGGCTGCCCTCGGAGTTGCCTCTCCAGGATCGCCCCGAGCAAGTAGTAGACCCGCTGAAGTGACTTCTGTCGATTCCAAGTTATCTTTCGGCCATGGTCTGTCAGCTGGTATGGCAGGCCATCTGTCACCCCCCCAAGTCGTGCTCCACCTGCTTCACGTAGCGGCGGACATGCTTCACTGGGTGCTTCTTGAGACTGCGCTTCCATCTTCTGAAGTTTCCCACAGCTTTGGCGACTCCAGTAGCTTTGTGTCCTCTGAGACTTCCGCTCGAACTCGACGCCGTCCTCTGTCGGCTTGAACTTGATGAGCTGGAGTCTTTGCTTTTCCTTCTTGAACGCCCGCGCAGCTGCTTGAAAACTCCAAGTGCAGCCAGTGTCTGCAACGTGTCTGCTGACGAGCCGCCCGCCAACTTCTGCAGCAAGCTGTCCTCTTCGTCTGCTGTCTTTCGACTCGCCCGCTGGTCTTTGGACTCCAAGAGCGCGCACTTCTTCTTCTGCTTCTTGTGCTTTTCTTTCTTTGTTAGCTTCGCCGCGACCTTGGCATCGCTTGAGCTGTCGTTGTCGTTGGTACCCCGTCCTTGCCAGCTCTTTTGCATCCTTTTCAAGTCGTCCAGGAGATCGACCTCGCCCTCGCTTGAGTCGCTGTCCGACTCGACTTTCGAAGAACGCTTGGCCACTGGCAGGGAACCAACTGTTCTCGTCGACGGGCCCGCCTCTTCCGACGCCGTGGTGAAGACCAGGTCGTGGTGGCTGCTCAGAAACTCGGACGCCGCTGCTTGCAGAGAAGCTGTTTGGACCTCCAAGGCCAGAAATGGATCCTGGCATGCTTTCCCATGCTCGGAGTGCTCCCTTCCACCACCATGAAAGTCCTTCCTTCTTCCAGCTCGAAACTGCCTTCTTGGTCTGTGGTTGGGCCTTCTACCCTCACCACTAGCAGCCATCTTTCAGAATCCAGTTTCTGGACGATGAGAGCTTGCCGCCAGGGTGGACCAGAGAAAGACTTGCCCACCGGAGCAAAAACCGAACTTCCCTCCTTCATGAGGCGTATGTCCTAGCTAAGCTGCCCCATCGGTCTCTGACTACACTTGACCCCATGAAAGCTGCGATTGGCGCATCGCTCGATAACATAAACAAGTCATTGATTTTTCAACAAGATTGAAACAATTGATTTTGACTTGTTTAGTCGCGTGTGAACTTTTTCAATTTGTCAAAAAAACTTCGACTAAACTTCTCTTGAAACAAGAAAGCCATCTTTATTGTTTTCTCAGGTTGTTTTTTTTCCAAAAATTGAAAAACACGTTTTTCAAATTTTGGTCAGACTCTGAATTTTTGGATGCACAAAAAGATTCAGATTCAAATGGCTGACACACAAAAACAGAAGTTTTTGTGTCTGCGCAGAAAACCAGTGCAAGTCGTAGCAGGTCGGAGCGCACCGGGCAGAACAAGTGGCCAGAGTCGTTGTCGGAGTCGTAATAGTTGTATCTATTGTTGTAATAGTATTAGTATTTGTAGTAGTAGGAGCAGGAGTAGTTGTTGTAGGAGTAGCAGTAGGAGAAGTAGTAGCAGTAGTAGTAGTAGTAGTAGTAGTAGTAGTAGTCGTAATAATAATAATAATAGTAATGGTAGTAATAGTAGTAGTAGTAGTAGTAGTAGTAGTAGTAGTAGTAGTAGAAGTAGTAGTAGTAGTAGTAGTTGTTGTTGTTGTTGTTGTTGTTGTTGTAATAATAATAGTAATAGTAGTAGTAGTAGTAGTAGTAGTAGTAGTAGTAGTAGTAGTAGTAGTAGTAGTAGGAGAAGTACTAGCAGTAGTAGTAGTAGTAGTAGTCGTAATAATAATAATAATAATAATAGTAATGGTAGTAATAGTAGTAGTAGTAGTAGTAGTAGTAGTAGTAGTAGAAGTAGTAGTAGTAGTAGTAGTTGTTGTTGTTGTTGTAATAATAATAGTAATAGTAGTAGTAGTAGTAGTAGTAGTAGTAGTAGTAGGAGAAGTACTAGCAGTAGTAGTAGTAGTAGGTAGTAGTAGTAGTAGTAGTAGTAGTAGTAGTAGTAGTAGTAGTAGTAGTAGTAGTAGTAGTAGTAGTAGTAGTAGTAGTAGTAGTGGTAGTAGTAGTCGTACTAGTAGTAGTAGTAGTAGTAGTAGTAGTAGTAGTAGTAGTAGTAGTAGTAGTAGTAGTCGTAGTAGCAGTCGTAGTCGCAGTAGTAGTCGTAGTAGTAGTCGTAGTAGTAGTCGTCGTAGTAGTAGCCGTCGTCGTAGTAGTCGTAGTCGTAGTCGTAGTCGTAGCCGTAGCCGTAGTCGTCGTCGTAGTAGTCGTAGTCGTAGTCGTTGGAGTCGTAGTCGTAGTCGTAAATCGTAGTCATAGTCGTAGTCGTAGTCGTAGTCGTAGTCGTAGTCGTAGTAGTAGTAGTAGTAGTAGTAGTAGTAGTAGTAGTAGTAGTAGTAGTAGTAGTAGTAGTAATAGTAGTGGTAGTAGTAGTAGTAGTAGTAGTAGTAATGGTAGTAGTAGTAGGCGCTGGTTACGTACGCGACGGTGTGTTGGTTGCGCAGGAGTGGGAGGAAAAGCGTGCGTTTTACAGTGTTTTCAGCTGATGGCAGGTGATTGGCAGAGTTCCTCTTATCTTGTTTTTTTTGACATGGAAGACACTGAGCGGAGTTCACCGCTGGGCTCAAGCGGACATGGATGCTCTCGTAACACGGACGCTATCATCACGCGGACATAAATGCTCAACAGGGACGTTATCGTCGTGCAGACATGGATGCTCTGGCCATGCACGCAAACGTTTCCTGCGGACATGGATGCTCTCGTAACACGTACGTTACCAATTATCATCGTGTCAACATGGACGCGCTGGTAACACGGACGTTAGCATCGTGCAGACATGGATGCTCGGCCATTGGAAAATCGCGCAAAGCACACGGTAAATCGAAACCGCGCACTTCCAGGACCAAATTTGGTGGCTCCAGGTGGCCCCGTGTTAAACAAATGTTGTCCACCCATGCTTCCCACAGACCAAGTCCTCTCAAAATCGCAAAGGTCTCAAAGGTTCAGATTTGCAATTTTGCTCCCTGCTGCTCCCAGGTTACGATTCGCACAATACGGCTTGGATCAAAGCTGTAGCTCCCGCAGTCAGCCTGTCCGCAGCTTTGATAGAGCTGCACCAACTCGTCATTACCGTGCGCCGTGTAAAGAGCAAGCTGACCGGTAAGGCAAGACAAGGATTTGTTTTCTACTGCCTGGTGCTCCTATGACAAAGACCCAAGAGCAATTTGCACTAATCCATGTGCTTGGCTCTGGGCAGGGTTAGCAGGTTCGATTTGGATGTATTCGATGCAACAGCTGGCCAGTATTGGCGCGGGTTTCAATGGCACCGCGGGAAATGATGTTGCTGAAGATCCTTCTCTCCCAGTCAAACACTTTGGAGACTAGGGCCGCCGACAAGCCATCAAGACACTTCTGGAGGATTCGAAGCCCTTGGCAGCCAGGCTTCCTTCAAACCACAATTTCAAATTATGTGCCTTTAAAAGAGGTAAGTTGGACTTGCATGCAATCAACGCAGCCACGTTGCTTTTGTTATTACAAAAACAGTAAAACATCAAAAGATTTAAATTGCCGCCCAGACTTCCATTTTGCAAAAAAAAACCATTGTTTTCTTCAAGATTGAGAAGAAGAGAAGATCACTCTTAACATACTTAGCGAACCAATTCACAACGATTTGGGAAGAGTTAAAAAGAATGCCTTCTCGACACCACCAAGCGATGCATCAATGTACAGATGGAAGAACAAATCGCAGTTTCAACTGTTTCAACCCTTCTTGTCGGGGGTAGGGGAACGGAGGCGGAGTGATGGACGGCCACAGGATGGCTTTGCTCCAAGGAAGGACAATTCAGCACAAGCAAATAATGCAGCCCTTCAAGCGCTGGCACTTTGCCATAACAAACGTTGCCTAAGTGTTGTCAGTGCTCGCTTCTAAGCAGGAAGAAACCGCCAGCATAAGGTTCTCATTGCTCTTCACGGACTTAACGCAAGGGCCAGCAAGGTAGACCAATGCAAACAAGAAACTACTGGCACCAATCACTGAGCTGCCCGTCATCCATAGCAATGCTGCGAAAAAAATTGCAATCTAAACTTAAAGACATCCATAAGAATGTGCATTTTGTGGTTTCCGCTGTTTTTCTCAGTGTGCAAG